TTCCGGTAGCACCTGCAAGTGGTGTGTCGAACGGATGCTAGATTAGTCTCTCACCTCACAGCCGGCTGGCTGTATATCACTCACAAGTAGGCTGTACATGTATGGCCAATGATCACCAACTTTGAGGATGAAATCATCAACCGCCTGGATAACGCCATCGGTCTTCTAAAAAAGCGGGTGCACTACTCGGACAACCTGGCACATGTCATATAGGTGTCCCGTCAGGATGACGAGCTCATAAGGGAATATGAGAATAATATGTGGTACCGGTGTTACCGAAAGCAATCGCACAGGATGACGGTTACGTCATAAACGTTGTCGGCCGAACTATTGTGTTGCCATCTTCCCTCGTTTTCAGGCGCTTGGGACACTGACCACTGGGTTGCAATATTGGCTAGTTGGGACCAACAAAGTGAGGTTTACATACCTGGCCACAAAATACCTAGGAAAGTATCAGGTTTCGGCTACACTGACCTGTTATCTTCCGCTTTTTGCAATGCGAAACGCTGAGGCCTGTAACCAGGATATCACTGCGGATATCACACAGTGCCAGGGAGTTCGACCTGCGGACATAGGTAATCATCTGCAAGCATCACGTTTTTCAAAACTCTCACAAGTTCCCTAATTCACTGAATGTTTCTACCACAATGATCACTCAGAACAGCGTTTATCGAGGTAAGGGAACGTGATTCTGCGTACACCAGTTCTATCAGAAAACACAGAAGAAAACCTTGCTGCAAAGGTAATACACCAGCATTTTTTCGCCGACGGGAACACTGTAAGCTGTAGTAGGTTGAACAAACTACTATAGTTGCAGAAATGCTGCAAATTTAGCCCATTCCAAGTGATTATCGTTTTACTGCATGTCAAGATAACTTTTTCATTAGGCACTGTTTTCTAATTCAAGGTGATCGTTGGTCGTGGAGATTCGCTGACTTAAACAAATAAACCATACAGGAACACGCAGCATACATACATATTCATAAATACGAAATGACAACCTCGAGAACGTCGTAATTCCCAAAAAAATCCGCTCAATTTGCCAGGTACGGATTGGCCTGAACGTGTTTTTTTAATCTCTATTTATGTTTACTTCTTTAAGTTGACGGCACACGATGCACTTGCCGCTGACTTTCTACAGTTGGATGTTTGTGCTGAACAGTAATGATATCCATTGAAGAATTATGTCTCTGGAGTTTGAATTGCATCCGGCCTGCTCTCTTAGAGCACAGTGCACATTCAACGCGTTTTATGAGACTCAGCTGTGGTTGATAGGCACTATGCTTGCGTGACCATAACCCTCTGGAAAATGGTCGTTATTTTGACTATGGTGCTGCCAAAGTCTCCGTTATAAGCACAAGTTGACCACTGAAGTGATCAATTATTCTGCGCCACATCCTCCAACTGAACAGCTTCCTTTTAGTGATCTCATGCGGGTCGGCTGTTGCTTCTCGTTTTTTGATGTCAGTGACTTTATATCCGATGGGATAGAGGCTCCGAGTAAGTCAAGCTCCAAACTGTACTGGGTTCTTTCCAAACGCGTTAGACTGAACGCAGTCGTTTAGGCTGCCTAAGGTCCTTCTGATTTTTACACAAAATTTCAATTTGATTCATGTGTCATACACATCTTTTCGATTCACTACTTTTCGCATTTTGTTTGTACGGGCGTTTTGCGTTTGAACGTCTGTGCCCTGCTCACTTTTGACAGTTCAATTTAAGTAAATCTCCTCATTTGCTCCGGCTCAAGCTTTAAAGTACGATACGAGACCAAATTAATCGCAGACCGATTCAGGTCAATGGAAGATGTACATGTGATAATATACATGTGTACCAGGTATATCTTTACGGTTCACTGTTCAAAAGCTTCATTGTAACCAGCTTAGTTATACTGGATTTTTTCAGTGCCCAGGACCACTTCCCACATTTGATGTAACTTCCAGAAAGTCTGTCAAGCAAGGCGATATTTGTCTGAGTTGAATTTTTTATGTTCAAAATACCCTGTTAAAATCGCAGGCATTTGGTTTTATTCCTATAGCGAATGGTGGCCGCTGGCACCGTCCGTGTTTATTTTCCAGTGTTCATCGGTTTTGCTTGTTTATCGGTTAGTGCTTATTCTTTGTTTGTGGCTGTCGTTCCTGTCGGTAATTTAGGAGTACCACGTCCACGTGCCCAATTCTAAAACAGGAGTATACGCAATCTATCACAACACTCAGGCTTCCTTCTTGCTAGGCGTATCCAACGAGAGTTTCGGGCATACCGTGAGACCCTGAGACCCTGTTGTGACAGACGGCACACCACTAAAAGGATACTGCGTGCCTAGGAACACACCGCCGTTCAAAACCATCGTCCAAACCGTCATCGACATTATAGCATTAATGTTCAACACTGACCCTTCGCTGTCGTACAGCCATGATTTTGTCGAACGTCTGATTTTGAAGAAAACAGTAAAAGTGGACTGAGAGGAGACGTAGAGCCAACCTACCGCAATTATTCCGAGGTACCTACGCCTCCAGACACTCATTCAGGTAGTTTTGATAAACTGACATGCGCGCCACTGACATCGATCAGCAGCCATATATTGCAATGTCTCCAACCAGACGCAGTGGAAACAACGTGGTCTTCATCCTGGAGGGTGTGTTGCACTGACCGCGCCCAGAATTTCTTTGATATATTTTATACTCACCGGCCAGGACAAAGGTAGGCCACCTGTCCGTTTCTGCCACTTTGAATCGGGTATAGAAGACATGGGCCATGATAGTCAGGCATACGTAACACATGTCCCAACCAACGCAGCTTCTGGTGCTGGACATCTACGCATTGCAAGATTGATCAACGAGTAGTTCTATGGTTGGTATGCGACTGTAATGAAGATAGTCAATTGTTCACCGTTTTATGAGAATCATCATCATCATCATCATCGGCAGAATGACATCGGTGCTCAACACACATGCTTCACACCCGTACTTTACGAGAGCTAAAATACTGCTAGGGCGCCCACGCCCAGACAGTTAGGGTCCTCAACCAAGGCCTTTGGCTCAAAAGCCTAACCACAAGGAAGCGGTGTTTGGCGGGAAATGCAAATGCATTATCACGAAACATTATTACGAAACAAGTTGCCGCATGTTCCAAACTTCAACCCGGAGGGCCAGGAGACTGTGTTCGTCAGACCCCTAACCATTAACATACCTGGTATGAGACTCTGTGGGTGTCATGGGGACACTCTCCAGTATAATTCAATGGACCGTTGAGGTGTGCGAACCGTCACATCACGGTAAGGTCCAGTCTCTAAGTGACAGTTTGAGAATACGGAACTTTAAATCGTTGGGCCGAATAAAAGACTTCCTAAGCCACTGCAGAAACTATAAAAACAATTGATGCAGTTTTTTCTGACTTGGAAAAGAGTGAAATTAAAGAAACCGCGACCTCCGGGAGAGTAGTCTGGAAAATTCACTGTTCAGTCAACGGCGGCTGATCCGCTGTGTGATTACCCCACACTTAGGATAAAGTGTCACTCATTATTCAATCACTGGATCCGTATCATGTAGTCACATTTGTTCACTGGCTCCTCGAGGAACGATTCTCAGAAGTTCCACGCATTGGGTGTGTACATACCCACAAATGCAGACATTATATATTGGTTCATCTTATGATCGACCACACGAAGAAGTACGAAGTGACAACTGAGCCAAGAGAAACTGGATCCATCCGAGATATTACTGTTCACCCGATGGTATTCCTAAAGCTGACAGAAGCAACATGAAGACTGTGCCGAACGAAGGCAAGCGATAAACGAAACCACCTGAACATCTGTCATTCAGTTCACACACAGAAAAACGTAACAAAAATTAAATCGTGGCTAAAAAACTTCAAACATCTTCAAGAGAACGACCAGCCCTCGGAATAAAAAAACTCCATAGTTTATGGAAGACTCGAGAGAGTCTACTGATGCGTCTTCTACTTTAACCTATCCTCCATGCAATACAACCACAAAAGGGTGCCTCAGCGTCACCTGCCTTATCGACCGTAGCAGTAACCTATCTATATATCCCGAATTACAGTAACCAGTGTATCTTCACAGCATATTCAGTTGGTACCAACGTGGTTTCTGAAGAGACAAAGATGGGTTATTACGTTGTCCCAACGAATCACGCAATCGATGGATTCATTGTAGTATGTGAAACGTAGAACAGAAGAATCCATTTTCCAAACGCCCTCCGTGACTACTGAGGCCCCAGCCACTAGCAAAATCAACATATACAAAGGACTCTGTATATAAAGGTGCCTATAAGGTCTACAAATTCAGTTCTGACCTGCCAGTAAGTACAGGTAAATCAGAAACGACAATGGGGGTATCCAAGGCTCACAGAATCTGTACGATGCTATACATGGATTATAGTTTACAAAATCTGGTGTATAACAAAGATCGGACCCTAAATTCAAACAAGAAAAATACACGACTGAATTCCGAAATTGTCCAGTAACCTACATACACCGGACCGCTGAAGAACTTGGCACACAAAAGTCACACAGTCCTTTCCACAGAACAGCTCCAAATACAGTAGAAGGCCTCGGTCAGCGATATTAATGTCCTGGAGGTAAAGCGCTCGAATGTCTTCAAAACTTTTGTGTGGCCTGGTGAGACTTGAGGTAACAATAAAGGCCTATATTCTGAGGATTCCGGGCTCCAGGACTCCAGTGCAGGAACAGAGAGCACTGTCAGCCATCTAGCCGGCAACGGTAACCATGTTTCACAGTCGTGACACTAGAAAGCGGGACAGACCACAAATAACCTGAACTCTCACGCAGCGTCACTGAACTATATCGAGCACACTGGATACACAATATCACCGCATCCTGAATTCAAGCACACATTTGCACGAGCGCTGGAGTTATTTTTGTTTACTTTCTCCTTGTAGGCAGCTCTCCTTTAAGAATGGCCACGGAAACGTAGGATTACACCGCATATGTGTATAGGTCTCTTCGTCCAAGCAAAGTATCTAATGCCTGGCACTAAGACGGAGCGCACTTTTCTGACATCTATACCTATCCAGAAAGATCATAAGATGCCTCAAGCGCAGAGGTTAGCTACCTCGACCCCAAGTGTCTTCACTTCTAATCAAGCTAATGCTCGTTTTTCACAAGATTTCCAATCAAGTCAGACGAATAGCCTTATGGATCTCGACGGCCGGAAGCAGCTGGTGGAATTTCGAAGCGCCGAGCTACCGATTATGAAGTCCGTTTTCTCTATCTTGAACAGTATGCAACACATATCAGTTGGGCTTTTACGAGCACAAGATTCCGAACAAGTAGATACAGTGTTCAATGAGAAGATAGATTGATTAGTTATGGTATATCACAGCTCGCGACACCAACGGAGAAAAATGAAATGAAAGAATTTACACAGGTTAGTGGAGGTGTCGAGGATGAGAAAAGGCTTTCACACAACGTTGAAAACTGAGGAATGAATACATTTTGTGAACTCATTGACCGGGATAAAATAACCTGGGTTTGAATGGATGAGATAGTAGAATAAAAGATCGCTAGAATACCTGAAAAAAGTGAAATAAATCAAAAGCTATCAGGATGGCAAGTAAATCTTTGTGCACCTCAAATGCAATGAGAGCGGATACGGAAGGCGTAGATGCCAGGAAAGAGGCAGGAAGCCAAGGGGATAAACATGATACATGAGCAACACAGAAAGTGGTGCAGATCAACTGACTGCACCAACCACAGACAATTGTTCAACATTAATCCATAGCTCGAGTCTTGCTGGACAGTGAGTAAAATCGGGACGACGGTAAGAGGGACCCCAACCTTTACCAAGACTAATATGCACAACTGGAACGGGTGGATTTAACTGCTGAATAGTAGCCTTACCGAGTCCATTTGGGAAATGCACGATTGTGTCCCTTGAGGATTGTGCCACGTGATTGCGAAAAAGGACCAGATCGAATACGACGATGGAATAGCCCGATGGAACTCTTCGGACAACCCAGGGTGCACCTGCCCCTCTCTTTGCATCTGACGACAGGCACGAGGAAGACACAAATATGGGGAGGTTTTCGGAGGACTGTGTTTGGTTTGCTAACCAAACGCGACCTTGTGGGGTGAGAGTTAACACAAGCCCCTGGTTGCCGAGGCGATAGCACTGACGCCAACTTGAAGACCGCTCGGAAAAACGAGGATAACAGATATTTCTATAGAGCCGTTCTCCCCGTCCAAGGGAACTGACAGGATCAGGACAAGGTTTGGACAGCGCTATCCTGTTACATGTAACACAAGGGGGCAAAGCTGAACTGTCTGTCGATGGAGTAAATGGAGATGGTGTCTTGGGACGGTGGACCAGCGTTGAAAGGCGAATACACGTTACACCTCTAGAACGCCGAGTGCCAATGCGATCGTGTAAGCGACTAGTGAACTGGGACTTTGAGGGATCATCATCATACACCACATAAACTACACAATCAGTCAATTTGTACCAACTCTGTGCAACATGGCGGTCACCTTCCCAATAGGACAGATGGGCCCAACAGCGTTCGGAACCGGATCTAGTGTGGTCTAGGTTTCCCACACAAGATTCAGTGCTATCTGAAGGCCGGGGTTTTTTGGCCCTAGTGCGTGGTCCTGAATCATCTGTAGCGGACGTAGTGGACGTGGAAGAATTAGGTGAAGTTCCGCAGGTGAGGAAACCGTGCGTCCCGTACTCTTCCGTGGACAGTTCCGTGATAACCGTAGATCTGCTATTTTCGGGTGATTGCTGGGTTGCGAGAGACGCGTTCAGAACCTTGATTGTAGATCCAGATGAAGGGTTCTTCAATGATGATCCAATTGGTGGAGTTTCAGAACCGTTTCTCAGGCTGTCACGAATGAGTATATCTGGAAATGAAAACAAAACCAACCTTGAGGATTTGGGCACAACCAAATACAGAAGTAGAGTCCAAAGCGTCCAAAAGGAAACGCGACAAAACACAGGAGCAGACGGTTTGTAGAGATTTGCTACTCTCGTTTTTCACTATCATGAGCATGGCTTTTATAATCTCATGCACCGTTTTTCAATCTATGATTAGCGATTCATGAACAAAAAACGCTTGAAAGCCATATTCTCTCAACGGTCACTTTGCGAGGTTGGCGTACCCCGGTGAAAAGCGATTTGCCCCATTTACAGATTGAAGAATCCAAGAATGCACGCCTAGTTAGGGGCGTTTCCAACAATCGAAGCCACCCTGCCCACGTAAACTTTACCTTCGCTAGAGTAATCCTGCGTATGTAAATTAACGTCAATTACCATTCGCTGAGTAATACTTTCTGATGAACAAAATGATTACACCTAGTAAAAGATGTTCGTAAAAGATAGGGACCTCAAGAAGAGAGGGACTTAGTTCACGGTCCAGCGCGCCCAAGAAGAGATCCCAAGTGACGTACAACTCTATATATTATTATTGTTGTATGCTGTCACTGGCAATAATTGATGATGATGCGTGTTTCTCCTGGTGATCGTAGGTCAAATAATACATGATGACAAGGGAACAAAGGACTCTGGTGCTCACTGAAAGACCTAAACCTTCATGAAAATTCAAGATACACGCTTTCATAACCCAGGTGCAAGTCTTCCGAGATCCACCGGTCAGACGGACAGAATAATCCGTTTTACTTAAAGATCAGTAGAAATCAGTGCAACGATTATGAAACCCTAACAACGATCGGCCATCCGCATCTCACGACCTAATGCAATGCGGACGAACAGAGCTCCTCTGCTCGATAGAAGGTTTAGATATGAAATAGATATGGATACATATGGAATAGAAACGGACTGGCGCCAGTTGATTTGTCGGTATCGTCTACCCACAGTATTTCCATTATGAATAGGTTTTGTTCGCAGTATCCCCAAAGGCTGATGAGGTAGAATTCCAACAAGCTACTGAACAGCAGTGTTTCGTAGTCTCTGGATTACAGAGTTTTGATTCACGCACCGGCAGACAGGCTCCATAAGGTTCAAAACAAAGCGAGAAAGCGTTCAAGATGTGGGCGATCTGAAAACAGCCGAGAAAAAGCTGTTGATGACTACTTCGTGGTAATCCAGTGGCAGTGTCAACTTATCTGTTGTTGCGTCAGCCTCTAAGAACGAAATCCCAAGATGCCGTCCACTTTTATGGAGCTGGATGCGTTTTGTTTACAAGAGAATCTGCATTGATTCTATACTGTATGAGATAAAACAAATACTTCTCGCAAATAACCATAATGAACCCCAATACATAAACGTGCCTAGGCAAACTAAACGACACAGATCAGTTGTGGGGGTGGTAACCAACACCAAAAATGACTAGGTCAGTCGAATACTGAGAGATCTGGCAACCGAATGCAGTATATCCAAAATGCTCGATCACTTTCTTTGATTTATCAAATATACCTACTTTTTTAAAGCTGATAAACCCTCCGATTCCTTTGCGGAAAAGTTTGGTTAGATGCTTAAAGCGCAGTATTATTCCCTCCGCCTCCTTTTTCATATGGTTTAATTCATTATTTTTGGAAAAAGAGGATGCAATTTAATCGACATCTTCATTCGCTAATACTGCATTCCAAAAAAGAAAAGCGCCAATGTAACGATGGTAGAGTGTACTGCAGATGAACCTCTGTGGAGGAACCATCACTCTAATATGTAACTTCAGATATGTGATCCTCAAGTTTTCGAACTTTATCATAAGGGCCCTATCCGGTGGTTCTTCAAATTCAATGCCCCACTAGATACAAAGTGGGATCTCCCGGTATAATTTCGAAAACTGAAATAGACGAGGTGAACGGGAAAAGAGTAACCTACTGTAATGGTTGTATGTTAGGTTTCTGGCTATGTTGCATAGGGTGCCGAAGATTCACGGGGGTGGGCTACAGCCAACCGTCAACTGAGCAACAGTTCTCACGTAGGCGGCTAAAACCAGAAGAAGTAGCATGCACAGAATACGCCCTCTGTCCTCTATTCAAGTCAAAAAGCGGAAGCTGATGCATTCAAAGAAGAACTTTCAGAGTAAACGTCTACCCACGAATGGATGGTGCCAGTGGGGTAGTGTTGAATAAGTTAGTGTAAGCCGGTAGGCAGGTCCACAACAGTGGTATTTCACGGATACCTACATACCGCATCGCAAATCCCACAGATTGCTTTCTTCATTGAGGGATGACTCAAACATTTGCCAAATCTTTCCGAGCACCATCAACCGTGCTCAGCTAATTCACCCAGAGTGGCCCGTGTAGGAGATTAATTTTCCTCTATTGATATGTTTCGGTAGGAACTGTCACCGTTGGAACGTGGTACTATAACGCCACTAGAAGCATCTGTCAATACAGGCGAGTGACAAAGTGGAACAGCAATGAAACACTATCTGGTCCAACTCACTATTCTCTTCACGATCGGTAGAGGTAGTGGCATTCGGCAAAGATGAACCTGGCCCACTCAGAACAGGTTGACTGGCGTCTAACCGAGATGTGACTGAAAAATCCTCCAAGGAATCCAATTCCACAGCTTGTGAACCCTTGTCAGGAGTAGTTGGTTCACTGAACGACAGGAGGAAGGTGTTGGATCGTCTGCGAATTGCGGATATTCCAACACGAAGTAGATCTAAAAAGGAGATGGCACGCATGAAGACACATCAAGTCGCACAATAACTACTATCGGGTAATTGCCTGTAATTGCCCTGAAAGCAGTAGGGTATCTGAAAGTAAAACAAGAACATGAAATGAAATTGTATGGAGCGAAACTAGGGTGTGTGATTATCCGCTACCTTCTGGTGGATGAAAACATCGGCCAGTTGGTACACGCGTCACAACTGCTGCTACGCATATCACTGTTAAAAATGTAGACAAATGAAGGACAGTCTACCTAATGTTCCTTTCAACTGGGACTAAAGCCATACTGATTTTGTAAAAACGGGACATGGTCAACAAAATTCATCACAGTCAAGTTGACCGAAATTGGAGCACACTAGGACTTATAAACTTCGGTATTAGGAGCACTTGTTGCGCCTATTAAAAAATATGAGAACGGCTAGAAATACCCGTATTTTGGCGAACATTACATTAAAGCAAAGATTACTGTTAACTTTAAACCTTTTGTCGGACAGCATTTTCGTGTAAAAAGCCTCACTGTCTCACGATTCCGTTAAAATATCAGTCAATTCCCAGTACATGGGAAATCGACCACAGGTGACACACCAACGGTCCTTCTTCAACTGACGGTAAACGAAATTTATCGATGTTCTGTTTGTTAGACCTCTGATGCACAGGTTGTCGTTTCATGTAAGCAATATTCGAGTTCAATTCCATCGAACCATCCATTCATATTGCAACGCGTTTACCTGCACGAAATTCATCAAAGATTGGGGGGAAGCGGACAATGAATGAATGGCCTCAGGCGCAGGGGAACTTAAAGTCATGGCTACCTGACAAGTAGGCAAACGGTTTCCGGCTTTGGACCACTGTTCTGAGTCGCATAGGAATGTATGCGTATTAAATGCATCACAGATTTTTTCGCCTATTAAATAGGGAACCCGTATACTGTCTTCAGATTTGCGTAGGACTGCATTTTCCCTCAAACTGTACGGTATGAAAGATTTCGAGACAGTTTGGGCTGGGCCGTAAGCTCTGATGAAATCAATCATTAAGACCTATTCTTACTAACGGAGATCCGCCAGATGAAAGCTATACAAAAGTCCACTTCAACGGGTCAATACTAATTGACCCGACTCATTAACAGACTTCAGACGGTGGCGCGTATTCCGTAGTCAGCGTCACAGCGAACGACCACGGCAACAAGGATCGATTGCCGTACTATAACGCTTGAGCTTCAGTTTTATCCACAAAGTTTATCACGTTGGGTAGTTTATAAGACTAAACTTGTCATGGCGTATTGTTTGACCCTCAGGAAACACCGAACTAAGATCAAAAGCTTCATGAAAATAAAGAACTCACGAAAAATGCAATGAAATGGGGTGGGCTCCAACACCACAAATGTGGCTATTTAGTCGGAAAATCGTTGGCAAAAACAGATGAAATAATCCCTTGACTATTTCGTCTGTACTTGCGAGAAAAGCTTATAGACGGCTACGACAGCGGTACCTGACACTATTTTGCCCACCGCATAAACTTTGTCAGGGTTCAGAAAACTTGTTTGTAGACTGAGCGACGAGATGGAAAGTGGCAGGCTTTCAATATGGACCGCGTTTCAGGGAGACAGTGCAAACGGCAACTTCAAGCACTTTTTCCAGCAGATCCAATAATTGTGCTAACAGATCTACCATGAGGTGAGAAAAAACCCTGAATAAAATCACTCGCTCTTTAGAGAACATCCTCCGACGGGAAAATAATTGCCAAACTTAGATTCATCACCATCTGGCGTTTGAGGGGTAAACGTACACTGCAATGCTCGTTGCCCTCTTGGTTTTGATCTTCTAGCTGTGATCAGGGTGAGTGATCTCAACGATGTTCAGAGAGTATTTGATCATGCAGAAGTGGGTCAAACAGTTTTGAATTGTCTTCTTTCCAAAATTAGCCATTGCTCATCCACGTTCCAACTACCGGTGAAATCTTCGATTACTTCCAGGTATAAGTGATATTGCTGGGCTATGATCGTTCTTAAAAGAGGATATGTTGACACATCTACCACCGACCTGAGAAGGAGAAGTATCCGTTTATTACTAACTTGGCTGAAATCAACCTGCATACCATATTAGAGAATTCTTCAGCCGGTAGTTAATAGCTAAACGACTCAACTGGTTTCACAATCGATATATACCTGCTAGCCACCAGGTGCGAGCGTTTGCGGTGAAAACTCGGGCTAGACAGGAAGAGTTATGGTTGGTCCACAACTAAAGGAGTCGCGGCCACTTGCATCTGTGGCAACAGTTACCTCCGAATTAACCGCGTAGGTCTCATTCCACAGGGATCGATCGATTTAAACATTCACATCATCCGGAGGGCTTAAAACGCCAATGGTTTTGGCCGGGTGAATCAGTCCAGACGGAAGCACCGTCCGCCGGTGCGGATATGCACCAGTTTTCGTTTCCAGTACTGTTGAACTTAATTAGATAACTGAACTTCGTAGAAGCGAATGTCCACCGAGTGCAACTCCAAGGTGCTAGGTATCACGGCCCACTGATTCAAGATCACCAGACACCAGGAAAGCGAACACAAGACCGAATTCGTTCTGGTGCATCAAAATGTATGGTCAAACTTTAGCCGTTCATGTGTGTATCGAAGATACGACGTACATCAAAGCGGATGGAATAGAGAATAGGTTGAGCGCTTCAAATCTAACATAGACTACGGACGTCCAGAGATCATGTGCAAAAAATATTGTAAATTTATTCGACTGTTATTTTGTGTGATGGAGAACGGGTTGGATTCGAGGGGATTTAGTTGAGACATCCACCTCAAACACTTAAATCAAGAGTTCAATGGACAAGCAAGACATTTAATCTTTCATCTGCCTCAGACCCAGAAGTCCGGGATGGGTGGAAGCCGAAAGTGGGACTTTACTGGGAGACTATATTCGTAGCCAGCGACGCAATAATCTGCTTCGTTTGATGATAGAGGGCTTGGCTAGCTTGAGGGAGTATGGAATAAGGCATAGTTGAGTCATCCTGTAATCGAAGCCAATCAATGCTGAGAAGCCGAGAAACACTGTACAGCTGTTTCATCCTTGTTAGGAATCTCAAGCATCGCAGACCCAGAAGTCCGGGATGGGTGGAAGCCGAAAGTGGGACTTTACTGGGAGACTATATTCGTAGCCAGCGACGCAATAATCTGCTTCGTTTGATGATAGAGGGCTTGGCTAGCTTGAGGGAGTATGGAATAAGGCATAGTTGAGTCATCCTGTAATCGAAGCCAATCAATGCTGAGAAGCCGAGAAACACTGTACAGCTGTTTCATCCTTGTTAGGAATCATCAAGCATCGTCTTACGAAACTCACAGAGGTTCTGTGTCGGCGTTCGAGGCGTCGGGCTTACCACTCACATCACTTAAGCGTTAACATGTTCACCTGTTCGGACATGGAAGTTCAGATGCGTCGAGCGTACGCTTATGTAGTGGTAACAGTCTGGCCTCGCAAGCCAGAGGTGCGGAGTTTAGAACCCGGCGAGGCCAAGGATGAGCTATATATTTGGAGCTAGTGCTTCTCCACTTTGGTGAGGACTAACCAGCATAATTGAACCAGAACAAGAGGACGACAGTTCAGACGAGAGTGATGTGAGCGTGCATCCTACAACTCCCCCACAACTAAATTTTTTTGCCTAGCGTGAAGGCTCTGGTCTACCCAACGTACAGTTCTGATCCCAATCTAACCGAGATACCACTGGACACCACCATGAGAATACCGCAAAAATGCATCGCTGCTTGGGCTGAAATGTGGATAAAGAAACCACACAAAATAGAACTCATTGAGATCCTCGGTAAAACTACGACGAAGTGAGTTAGAGAGGCTGCGAGGCAAAGTGAAGAAGCCGGTTGATAGTACAGCACAGGAGAATGCCATAAAATTCTCGGGTTTACCCTCTAGTGAAAGCTGGTGGTCAAAGTACTGCTCAACATTACAACTGAACTTATCGGGAAGGATGTGAACTATCCTACGGTTTCGTCGTGAACCGAAAATTTGAAAATTCTATATGAATTCCATTCTTAAAATAACTGAAACCATCATTCAATCAGTGTGTTGTAAAATCAGCACCCTGGAGGCGATCGGTAGCGAGTCAGTGAACATCAGAACGTCTGTTCCTGGACTTCCACTCCTCAGGGTACCACCACGGCCTCGACGATAATGAAAGTTGGAGTTAAAAAAATTCGCAAGCGCCAAGGGGGGGAAGCCTCCGACATATTCCGCTAATGGCAACAATACAGGTTTTTCTAAAATACTGATGCCTGACTATCACACAACCACGTCAATGTATCCAGATAAAGTTCCATAAAGAAGAGAATAAAATTGAAGGCGATCTAGTGCATGCCTGGTGCAAGCACCCGAGGTGCCCAGAACTAGAGAACCTATTTCTTCCTGCTACGAGCTTCAGATAGAGCGAGGCACTCAATCATTACTGCGCTTTGATAGCTAAACTAGTTTGGACCTGGCTGATGGACGTGGATTTCGAAAGCCCAGTTCTCATTCGAAGGATCAACAGAAGACGCCCTAATGACTGAGGCTGGTTGCTAGCACTAATATCATTTATCTCTTTCTTCACCCCAAAGATTAACCACTGTGCAAGTGTTGTACTCTCCGGCTCGATCATTTTGATAGCCAACTCGATCATAAAACTTCCCGCGTTCTGTGATGTAGATTTGGATTGGACAGTCATTTTTAAATCTGAAACAAAGGCCCGGGCCTCATGTTTAAAAAAAAACGTAGAAAGAAGAATTGATTTAAAGAAACATTATAGGGGATGTAGCAACAGCGGCAGAGACAAGAATATCTACTTGCTAACTGTTACGGAATTCGCACCGCGCGCGGATGAGTGCGCATTCTGAAATTTAGTCACGGTGCTCTGACGACCAACTCTATGCTACGCACGTGCGGTTGGTTATTGACGGTCAGAACGGAACCGCTGCAGGACACTTGACAGATCCTGACGCCAACCACCACTGTGTGCGCATACACGCACGTACGCACACAAACTAGCAGATCAATGTCAATCTGTCTGCTTACAAACCGTTGAAACACAGTGAAGAATGCACAAAATGGGTAAGACCGGCTGCTAGAGAGTACGACTGCGCTCGACTCAGCAACACCTTGTACCTTCGGTGGCACTATATGAATTCTCGATGCGCATGATCAGTCAGCTTACGTGTACAGTGCGTCCAACTCACCTTTGGATTTTGTTTGAGTGCGTACTACCTGTAGACTAAGTCCCCTTTTATCTGTAATGCGTCCAATCAATGACAGTAGTAAGTGCTAACGCGTAATGGAACATTTGCGTGCACATCTGTGCCTTGAACGCAACTTACGGAAATCATAGAAATCTATGTTGAAAATGTGATCTAGTGGATAGTAAGTGGATTTGTCCGCTCTCATTAGGCTACGATTTAAATGCCTTGCGTTTAAACGGTTTTCACTGAGGTCCGGCGAACTCTTGTGCTCTCAGATAGACAGCGATACCGTTCCTTTAAATCTTATTCCTAATTTTGTTAATCAGGATGTTCTTCCTCGGTGGGTTCACTGTTCGCTGGCCTAACAGTAAGGTCACCAAAACACACCTCTAGGTGCACCGGAATCTCCAAGATTGTCGTAGTCAGTTGCATGGTCAGCAAACAGTTTGGCGCTTATACATAATAGCGGACAGTCAACGCTTGCCTCATCCACTCTTAGCTCACGCCATGCGGGCTTCAGACACGCCGTCTAAGTATCAGTCTTTAAACACGTAAACTACCAGCTGCCGGAATTCTGTGACTTCCCATACGGCCTGGTAGTTGGTCAACCCCAACTCATCGCGTCATTATCACAAGTTACTTCCTCTGAACTGCATGCCTACTAACTTACCGATTACATGCTCACTTCTGTATACCCGTTATGGACTTGAACGCTGATAAATCACTTCCCGGGATGCATGTAGATATTGCTGACTTGACTTGAAGAAGGAGTGGGTTGTATCGATCTCGCAGTAATAATAACAGCAAATGTTTGTCACCACCAGCTGTACGGAGGTGAACTGTACCCATCCTCATGTATAATGGGACGGCATCCACAAATTTTTAATCAGAGATGAGCATCGGGTTGCAACCTCTCCCACAATAGGTATATTTTTAAAGTAATTATTTTTGACTAGTCTCTGGAAGACCCCCGCAGTATTGTGGAGTACAAACGCCGAAGATTCAACCGAATACGCGTTGGAAATATCGCACTCAGATATGAAGACTCTGGGTGATACAAAGCATAGTCAAGTGTCCTCTATCCCTTTATTTATTGCAACTCACATCTGCCTTTCTGTAGTGTTTTTCTGAGCTCTGCCACCACAATCGCCTCCAAGGTACAGCCTTGTGATATGACAGACGACCGGTCATTCTTTGGCCTATGTGGTGTTCCCTGTGTGATTATATGCCAGGGTGTGCTGCTCGTCTACACTTGGCTGACAAAACATCACAGTTGAAGCATTAGATCTTCCTATATGAGCAAATGAAGCCCATTAAAGTGCGGAAGCACAGTACGCCTCGCTTTCTGTGCTCCGTGATCATACAGACCAAATTCAGTCACATAATTCCAAATAACCTCTAGAACTAAAAAGCTTGTCCAATGCAGCTAAACCGGAGGTCAAACATCAGCCGCTCGCGACCAGAGAGTTAAGCGTCCAAACTAGTGACCGGAAGATCGAGAGTTCGAAACCCCATGTTGTTTCATGAGATTGGCACTGCTGATGATTCCGAATAAGGATGAAACAGATACACAGTGTTTCTCAGTTTTCCAGTAGAGGCTTCATTTACAGGGAGAAATATCAGCTGCAAACAAGTGAGACACACACTGAAGGATCCAGCCCCGGCTCCTAGCAGAACGTAAGAAGGACAGGCGGGGCTGAAGAAATATACTCAGTTACTTTTGAGGCTAGAGTTTCATTGCCCAAACCCCAGGTTTCTGTTGCAGGAAGGAAATTAGCAGAGGGCAACGGGACTGTTGCTAATACATTATACCAAACAGTCCAAATCTTCGTTGCTGAGTGCCAGAGAGCCACTATGGTCTTCAAGATCACCGTGGCTAGAAAATTCGAGGACCTGCTCAGAAAGCAATCTGCAGACTTTCTCATAATTTTTCACTTTACCGGCAACTTGGATTTCCTGAAGGTACCAAGCTTCCATTACGTGGTAGAAGTGTGGAGGGGAGCCAGATGGACCGTGGTTGCGAACGGAGGAAACCTGTCTTCGGGTCTCCAGCAAAGATAGTCTTAAAAGAGATTAAATGTTTGAAAAAAGCTGGCTGAGTTTTATAGCAGAGAGAAGTCCCAGGGTCACGAATGGCTCTAAGGGTATTGTTCCAATGATAATCAGCATTGGAAATCTGGTCAGCGGGAAGAAACTGGGAGGGGTTTTCGATATTCAAGGTGACCACCTTATTGAGTATTACGGGTTCCGAATCAACTTACTACACGTCCGTCCATATCACCTGCAGCCATAACGATACCTGAGATCTAACGCCGTTGTAAGAGCAGTTAGTGCTTCACAGAAAATACCTTTGGTGGATTCAGGGCTACAGACCGTTGAGACACTGTCTGAGAGCCAAAACCACCTTTGTTCCAGATTCTTCCAAAAATTTCGTCTAAAGAGGTCAATACGGATGAGAATCCGGCCAACCAGCGATGCTTGCGCTCGACGGCACATCCAGCCGCAGAGACTTCTGCGTAGCCGTTTCCTTTTCGGATGTGCTACAAGTTGCGTAATACTGACATCGACTTTGGAAGTTTTGAAGAAACCCGCCACACTTAAAAGAGGTTCTAAAAATGGCAGTATTATGGTCAAATCCCACAATTAGCCTGGGTAAATATGCATGCGTTCCGGTTCAGATTTACCAACAAACTTAATACGTAAACGCCACAGTGACGGAGTGTAGGGAGGAGTGGGAACTGTTAAAGCGTGTGTAAATACGAACGTTTCAGTCGTCGTATGCTTTCGCACCCATGACTACTGCAGGTAACTGGGCTGGTACTGCCTGTCGCCAGAGTATGAAGATCATCTCTGAAAGACATGGTATGGCGTCACGGCTGCCATGTGCGCGCACACACACCTGTACATAAGCGCAGCAAATCCCATTAACTACATTGCTGTCAGTCCAACAAACGACAACGAGTGATGGGAAGTAGACACAGATGAGCGATTGAGTGAATGAAGTTGAACATATGCTAGCGTCCGCTTGTCACAAACTGCGTCGACAAAATCTGGTGCGGGCGCCTGGTGCGCGCCAGATCTGATTGGAGCCGGGGGTGAGAGGCTCCGGGATCGGCCATCTGGCACCAGAAAGAGCAGATGCGCACAAATCAGTATGTCTATGCACATCGACTACCTGAAATGTAGCACTGCCGACGGTAACAAGAACAACAACTATTGAGCGTAGGTGGAATGACGTGCGCGCCACCACTAGCGCCAAAAGATTTTGCTGGCGCCCGAAGCTTTTACAGCCTGGCGCCGTATGCCATCATGGTTACGGTCTCGTACAGACCATGACGCGACGTGTATGACGCCCTTATGTGTAGCACCACTGAACGGCTGTTTACCTGGGAGCTGATGTGTGCACCTTCGTATGCGCTTGTGTATATACATACATATATGTGTGTGTGTTGCAGACGCGTACAAACCGTTGTTATTAGGCTGACGCCACACAACAACATATCACCCGTAAAATGCGATGCGAAGAAAGGGATCGACATTATGAGCCAGACGGATTTGATTATATCTGAGTAAACCTGCCTAGCGGCAGACCAAAAATGGATGATAACTGGGAGGAGATGAGAGCCGGAAGTGCATGCATTTTGAGAAACCGGAGCACAAACGGATAAACGTATTCTTCAGTGAACGACATGTGCTAACCTGAAGATAATGGTATCAGTTGTCTGGATGCTTGCAGTTAATTCAGGCTCTCGTAAGAGTTGGTTACAATAGACCCAGTCCGCCACAACCCTGGTAACCAAAATCAAAGGTGAAAGGTTTACATAGACCAAGAGTCAACTGAACGAACCGCTACTGAGACAGGAAATTTTCGGAAAAGAAAAAGTACAAATGAATGACAATTCGTTTCAATCTGTGAACGAAAGTGGGAAAATAAATAGCATAGAGGAAAAACTCGGATAAGCCATATTTACTTTCGGAATTCACCCTACCTGGTTCCCCAGCAATTCGCTCATCGAATTCTGTTGTCTCGGATGAAGAAAGAGGGTCGATTGGATATAGCACACGGCTCCAATGATGTGGATTGATACAGAGACGACAGGATTCGTTAGACCGTGTGGTTGCGCGGCATACTGGAAGACGACTGGAACAGTAAAAGGGAAATGACACTGACGAACAGATCAAATGCAAATTGCTACCAGGACGATGAGCACGCTGAAACGTAGTGAACCAGGCTGTTAAAATGATTCCAAACTGACAGTTTATCAAAGTGACCACTTTTCAAAAATGTATACTGATCCCAATTTGAATGCCCATATCCGTGAACACAACAGTCAAAAGACGGAAACCGGCAGACATATTTGGTCCTGCATCATCCGTAAGGACTTATCAGTAGACGGAAGAGACAGATTTCCGTACAGTATCTCTATAGGGAGGGAGTAGTATTGATATGATAGTTAAGCTGACGGTAGCCTGAGTGTTATACCGAGTTTTCTTTGGACGCACAAGGAACATATCAATCGATGGATTATCATGTCCCCGGTGAAATTTGGAACACGTTAGTTCCGGTCGGTGAGTTGGAGTAATCAATGCTGGGATGAAATCGCTTCGATGGCCTATGGACAAAAGATGCCTGCCAAGCGATGAGTGTGGTGGCTGATGCTCAGGCAAATGTGTCGGAGTATTGATTGTGGCCTGACTTTGGAGTCAGAAGGGGTTGTGCCTTTTCGTTTGAGCACCTATCAATTATGCCTATACAACATGCTCTGCAGGTACAAATTGAGATTTGACGTCAATAAGTCTGTCCCCCTTTTAATGAAGACAGCGGTAAAAATTGGATGTGACTGAGAAACCAGGCATCTGCAGCGTTTTATTTACATTATTTTCAGCGTTTGGCGACTGCATTTTTCCTTTGGAGGAGATTGATACAAAGACTGAATTACTGGACATGTGGCGTTGCTAGAATGCACTGTTCTCTGTTCGCCGTGTCCTTTAATGAATTTCCAAGGTTATCTGTTACTCGCCAACATGTTTGTGATGTGTTCTGGTTTATCCAGTATACAATTTTGTGTGCGAATACAGTGCGCACGTGAGAACAAAGCTTAGACAATGTTGGGTGGTTGAAACTGGAAAACCACGTGCACTGACCTTATACAGGTTTTTTTTAAACTAGCCTATGCGTAATTAGTACCGCCTAATTTGACAGAATGTTGTCAGCTTCCTATTCTTGAGTTGCGGTGAGATTTGGCTGAATGTCAGTGAGAAACTTAATAAACTGCATGGTTAACGCCTTCTCCGTGATAATGGTCTGTGAGTCGTCAACATACCACCGTCAAGTATCTTCAGATCATGAACATGAATAGCTGGGCTTAATGGACTGCCCATAACCACCCAATTAATCTACCCACAAAGGGAATTTTGAAATTTGATGCTGAAATGCTCAGTGAATGAAGGAATTAGGACTTCAAGGACCTCAGTTGGAAATACAATGCACAGATTGGCTATGCTAATGAGTTCATGTATAAAGTCGATCACTTTATGAAGTGGAGCGTTGATAAACAAAGACTGAGCATCTATAGAGCACATATATTTGTATCGGAGGAAATTGTGCCCGGATCTTCGGCTGAATTTGGTGGATTCGCGATGTCTCGAGATATTTACTAACCCTCGGGACAGTCTGTGTTATGGAGAGTCAGATATAGCAAAAAATCTGTCCAACAGGTACCTGGCCTTTGTGCGCTCTCAGGAGTCGATAAAGTGCTACTGTCGAATAGCTCATTGATCAGCACATGTTTAAGCAGTCAGTCAAGGCAGAAATATACTCCATCTACAAAATAGGTGATTGGCTATTCTTTGTCCAGCGCATGGAGCATTCGGTTACCATTTATAACTGAAAGCACCTTATCAATATGGACTTGCTTGTTCATTATCATTACACCGGAAACTCTGTCATGTTTTAAAATGAGAAAAACGCCTAGTTTTAGCTCTCATAGTGCAAGGATACACTGTCCGATTATTGCGCATGCACCAGTAAATGGAATGGAATGAATACAAGAGAAATATCGATGTTTTGGGCCTTGAACAAGTTGCAATTTCCAATGGTGATTAGGTACAGTTCAGACAACTGATTCAACAAGTTTTCAAGATGTAGCTCAACTAGGGTATGAGTGGGATTTGAATGAATTTTTCTGTGCTAGCACTGACGATGACCTATCTTTTATCGAGACTGACCTACCATATGCGCTATGTCAACGACACACTTGTCACAATCATGGATAATTCTTTGGTCATGGGGTTTACTCAACCTCAAAAAAACATTTAGCCGAATTTAAGCGTAACCTACGAACAAGAAGCTGACAGCAACCTCGCACATTTGGACATGTTCATTGCACGTAAGCTTGATGAATTTCTAAGACGTATTGTTTAGGGAACACCTACATGGTCATGCCAATACAGGTATTTCCCCAGTTTTAAGTTCATGAACCTGAAAAGTACCATTCTCCAAACCTCTTTCTCACATGCGCACTTGATTATATCTCGTACGAGTTGGAATCGTAGCCTCGAACTCTCTTCATTCTCTGCACAAAGTGAAATGAATCGAGTTTCACCCATCCAAAACCAGTCAAGAATCGATAAGTTATCAACAGTTCGTTGGTCACCACAAGGTTGAATTACTACAACAGAGCAGGGTGATTTTAAAGGTAGCTCAGATATATAAGTGCTATCTCCGTTTTAAGAACTCGAAGTTCTGCACACCATTGAAGGATTGGTCGTAGGAACTGGGACACGTATGATGTTACTGCCACGCGTGACATGGGGTTAAGGACAATAAATACATCAGGAACAATGTAATGTGAAATTAAGCGACTAGAGAAAGATGATTCGTGTAAGCGAAGAGATTTGTCAGAAAACCCAGAAAAGCGCAACTATTAGTAATTTGTTGGGCCGAAATGTACGCCTGGTAAATTTGGTATTGCAAGCATTTTTCCCGGAAAACCAACAATAAGGTTGGCGCAAACTCGGGGACAGCGCCTACCTGATGTGACCCAAGAACGGCGAAACCGGTGGTGGGCTGTCGAAGAGTTTTCAGCAACCTTGTGTGTAGCTGTCTTTATGAAAACAACTTAATGATAGTTTATGTTTTCAGAATTCAAGAATAACCTTAGTGACTGGAGCACACGGATTTCATTCTTGTCTCCGTTTGGATTCCACAATTAAGTAATACAATGAGGTAAGAAACAGTTGTATTGCTGCAGAAAGTCTCAGCATACAAAGAGGCTCCACCGTATTTGCAATTATTCCCAACGTTGTGGACTGACAAGTCGCAATCGCAGATAAAACATTACATTGTCCAAGAGGAGTTATGCCTTCAGAGATTCTTGTCTATGAAGGATAGGTCTGAACAACACATTTCCAATCGGAGCGTTGCAAACCTGGTAGTACAAGTGCGCTAAATACTCCTGAAAGCTGGTACTTCAGTCCCAAAAAGAACAGAAAACCTTGACCAACTCAGTCAAAATTGAAAACGGGAATACATGAATTTCTGACATATTGGTAGTTCGACTGAGTTAACTGGCTGTTGATCAGATATCAGTTGATCTGTTTTCCAGGCTCGACGGCAAAACAGTATTTTCCCTTGTATGCGGGATGGGATATTGTTCAGGCACCCACATCTAGATAGAAAGCCGATTGCGACCCTCAACGAAAGCCATTAGCTCAAAATCCTGACCATAATGCAAAAGGTGAGTACCGTCATATTGGCTTAGTAGTATACTTGCGGAAGATAACTGAACAAAGGGGGTCCGCTGGTGCGACTGTGACAAGTAACGATCGTATTTCGCATTTTCTGCACCAAATTGCCGAGAATTCAGTTGTATGCAAGAGTATCGAACCGCTTTCGTGATGCGTAACGATGTTTCACCTTATCAGAAGTGGAGGCATCAGATATGCGTACCTCTGTATGCAGCTTTCTAGTGGGTGGTGAATCTATACGGCTCTGAAACAATGGACTATAAGCTTACCACTTAAATTAAATAAAAATAGAAATGGGATAATTAACCAGAGATATACATCCTGATATGAAAAAAACGGTGGCAATTGTTTTGAAGCTTATGGACATCGAGCTTTTGTGCTTAGCTCCACCCCACGTTGTAGTCTGTGTTCCAACTGCGACATGTTCTAACGCCAACCTATGGCCCAATAAGTATGGAAGGGCCACTTCAAATGCCCGACAATTTATCAGTGGTCTGTATGAAACCGAGCGTTTAGCATGAGAACCGAACGATAAGTGAAGTCAAGTCAACAGTGTATAGCATTTCCAGTTTGGGTTTTCCTACTGAGGAGTAAGCCAATCTGCGGCGGTACCAGAGAAAGCCCTCTGTTCAAAACTTGCAGGATTGCTCTTTTAAAGAGGGTTACCATCGGGGTACTTCGGTGCGGCGAAAAGTGTCGCCTCAGAGTGGGCATTTCTCTGTGAACAGGGGTGCTGTATCGGCAATTTTTGGTAAACGATGAATACCATTGTAAGTAGTCGGACCAAAACCACAAAGCCCAGAAATTAGTCTGAAAATGAATCTATGTTCAGGCAGCCAGACGCACCCACATTTGTTCTGATAAGGCACACAGAATCCAGGACAAAATCATGGGCTTAAGCTAATACTATGACCCCAGAGCACTAAAAAAATCTCAACTGCAAACGATCTGTGAAATTCACACAATGAAGAAATTTACGAAGGTATACAGTTGAGTGCGGACGTTTCCTCACCAATCGAGCTGGTATATTATTTGTGTAGCAGCCCATTTGTGCTTTGGGGTGTAGAGATATGCAGACCGCTGGCTGCCTTAGGGAAACGGCCCTACTGTCCATAGTTAGAAGTCCCTCTCTGGAAGAATAATATATGTTCCACCAAGGAAACCTTAACTCCTAGTTTTGGTAATAATGTAACAAAATGCTGAAGTTAGTGAAACCATCTTGCGGCCCTCATTTAAAGGACCTCCAGTAAAACTAATCAGCTCTTTACACAGAACTCAAGTATGATTACGCTATAGTAGGGACCATTTGACACATTTCTCTCAAGTTGTTTTCACGGAGCTACTCGCAGATCTTTATTGGACTCCACTAACGGAAAACTGCTTCAACAGCTT